CCATGGTACAGCTCGCAGCTCTGCTCCCTAAAGCAGGCATCACGAAAAATGGAAAGGAGGTGGCGCTCCACTAAGTCAGAAGAGTTTTTCATAGCCTGGAAAGATAGTTTAATAACATATAAGAAAGCCCTTCATAGTGCCAGAACCGCATTTTATTCATCACTGATTGAGGAAAATAAAAACAACCCCAGGTTTCTTTTCAGTACTGTAGCCAGGCTGACAAAGAGCCACAGTGCTGTTGAGCTTAACATTCCCTTAGATCTCAGCAGCAATGACTTCATGAGCTTCTTTACAAATAAAATCACAACTATTAGAGAAAAAATTGGTCGGACCACTCCCACAGCTCTCGCAGATGTGCCATCTACTACAATGGCTTTAGAAACATCAGTGAGACCTCATTTATACTTGGACTACTTCTCCTCTATAGATCTCTCTGAGTTGACCTCAACAATTGCTTCATCTGAATCATCAACATGTCTCCTGGACCCCATCCCGACCAGGCTGCTCAAAGACGTCTTTCCCCTAATCAGCACATCCATACTAGATCTGATTAACCTTTCTCTATTAACCGGTTATGTTCCACAGGCTTTTAAGGTTGCAGTAATTAAACCTCTACTCAAAAAGCCTACTCTTGACCCAGGTGTCCTAGCTACTTATAGACCAATATCCAATCTCCCATTTATTTCCAAAATCCTTGAAAAAGCTGTTGCAAAGCAGTTATGTGACCACTTGCACAAGAATGATTTGTTTGAGGATTTTCAGTCAGGATTTAGAGTCCATCATAGTACAGAAACCGCATTGGTGAAAGTCACCAATGATCTTCTCCTAGCCTCGGACAAAGGACTTGTCTCCATACTTGTCCTCTTAGATCTCAGTGCAATTTAGGTCGAAACAATATCTTAAAGCCGTCGTAAAAAACAGAACAAAAATCATCTGAATATTATTACACAATAAATTATTCATACCATTTCTAAAGTGACTATGTCAAAAAGTCTCCCCCCACTTTACCGATGATTTCATTCAATATCTCAGCAGATCATTGTTTGTATGACAAAGCACTTTAGCATTTTATTTAGCACATGGTGTGTCTATATATCTAGACAAAGGGTTATTTAAATTCACTGAAATTGTTTCTTAAACTAAAAATAACCGAGAAAGAAAGAGACACGAGAGGAAGACAGAGAGAAATTACAGTAGAAAAAATAAGTTGTTTATTCCCAACTCCCAGTATGTGACCACATCATGTAAACAGGACCCAAACAGGGAACGTGTCTACCATACTGCTATTCAGTGTGAACCAGGACATTGATTCACAACACTACATGAGTGTGAGAAAAACGATAAATGCATCACCTCAGATATTTCACACTAGCGTCGCTAGTGTGTAAAAGCTGTTGTGACAGCTTGGGTATTAAGGCTAGATAGATGGAAAATGTCTGGCTGCTTATGAATGCCAATGTGAGTGGGGTGACGGGTTTGACACAAAAACACTCCACCTCAGAACAATTAGGCTGTTCTCAGGCCCCATCCAGTGCTGTCAGTGATAATGGAAAGCTGTGAGGATAACTGGTGATAAATAGACTTTAACACCCTCCTCCTTAAGAGCAATGCAGTCCTGCAGTCCTCTCATATGCTTAACTAATCATGACCATGGCCGGCAAATTCATACAAAAGACTAATTACTGTTGTACTTCACTTCAGTCTCAAAGGCCTCTTATATAAGGACTTGGGGGTTCTCTTGCCTCCTTTCTCCTCATGATGGGTATTTTTTACAAGTAGGCCTCATGCTAGACAAAAGCGTTTAAAAATTGGTGATTGCTTTCTTCCCCTTTAATTACATTCAGAAATGGCATTTCTGCCACATAATACAACCCTATTGTTTCTGAATTATCTGGCTTGGGGGGTAAAATCTACAATATTTGACGATGCTCCCGAGCTAAATCGCCTCTTGAAATTGAAATATGCTGCCGAAATACAAAATAAAAAGCAAGCCTTTGCTGCTGATATACTGGAAGCTCCTTGGCTTTCTGCAGAATGCTATTATTATGCATATCCAGGTAGAAAGTTAATTAACCCAAAGCTTAAGCTAATTATGGTAGCAGAATGCTATCAACCAAACGCTTTCAGTCAGACAGCTGTCCAGAATTTCATTTGCTAATCATTTGTCTTTTGCTGGAACATATGGTACATTTCCCCGCTATCACAGCAACAACAAACAGATGAAAATCATTAACTAAAAACAATGTGCAATGTGAAAAATCAGACACAGATTTATAAGGCTTTGTGTCAGAGAAAAAAAGGCGGATTTATGGCCTGGGAAATATAATGATAATTTTTGGTTTTAGCCACTTAGGATTTTAGGCATATCACGTGACCCAAATGTGCTGGGAATTCAGATGCACAAATATACTGTTTATATCTATATGCAAATTAGACAATGTTTATCAGTGTAAAATTAATTACAGTTTTCTATAGGAGCATATGCAAACAGCTTGTTCTCAATGATTTTTAGCTTCTTGCACACTGCCTTTTTTTTCCAACACAATATTTTTACATTGTTAAAAGTAGACATCCCTCAGCTTAGAATTAAATCAATTATATTCCAAGAAAAGCTTCATGCATTTTTTTTTTCTTTTCATAAAAACACATCACACTGGCTGTTAAAGGGTGATTGATATCAGCACTGCCTTGCGACATTATCAGGCAATAAAGGCTACTCAGGTTCTAATGCAACATGTCATACACAGGCTCCTGTAGTACATTTCTATTGAGGACCTCACAAGCTAAATTGCTTTTTTCGTGCTCCCCCACATCTCAGCCAGCTTGACAGACAAATTGATCAAAGCATTGTAAAATAATATGCTCACAAAATGTCTCGGGGCAGGAGTCCAGCCCTTTTTTCATTTTTCACCCTAATAAAAAAGTGCTCTATGATTTCCTGTGTATTATGTGTCTGTGCTGTGTGAAAGAGGCAAGAAGCATCATATTTCAGATAATAGTAATCTCCTGTAAACAAAATGCGGATCATTTTTCTGTGAACGCTGAGGCCATGCTAAAAACTAAAGGGGAGAAAAGCTGGTTAACAGAGAGGCTGGTGCATAGGGCCCCAACAGGGGTTGTTGAGATGTAATGAATTTGTTCATCAGATGGTGCCTTCAGGGCTGTCGTTAGACTGGCAGAGGAGGTTGATTTCAGGAAATGTTCCTAAGATCAGTTAGGAAGCAAAAGGGGCTTGAGACGTTTCTATTAGAAAGAGCTGACGGTCATGGTGTGTAAGCAATACTTCAAGGGCATTTATGTAGCTATAATGGCATGTATCAATAACTATCTATCAATGCCACAAATGCTTTTGTTGCAGCACCGGCTGTTCAACGCCAACCGATAGTGGATTCGGAAAAACAAACACGGTCTCGCAAGCCTTCAAAGCTTTGACTCACAAATATCTACTATAGGTCTCCCTTTATGCTATGCATAGAGTTATCTATTTCTCTTATCCAAAATATGTTTTTAGAGCTCATTTATCACACCGACTTCCTAAGCCCGTGCTACACGACATCCAAAGCTGGAAAGAGCCTTGTTTAGTATGTCATAAATAAATCAATGGAAATGGCTGATCTAAACTATTACTGCTACAGGCAGGCTTTTGTGAGATCTACATGTAAAGCCGGATGCAAAGATAAGCCTATATTTTGTCACTTTATCTTGCCTCCCTTAATGCCTGTTTACAATACGTTGTTCTATATATCTGAGGTGGCTCTAGTTCCCCTGCCCTCTGACAATAACATCATATTCAACTGGTTGTGATAAAATCTAAACATTTGGTTTAATGATTTCTTGCTCCCACCTTTGAGAACATACAGACTGCAACGTGATTGAAACTTCACTTATGACCGACATAGCAAATGATATTAAACTGAGAAATGATCTAGTGATGCGAATCATTAAATTCATTTGCATATTCCTACTGAACCTGAACCCACAAATTAAACCCTGTTCACAAGGAGATGGAGAAAGGTGCTTGTGCATGGTTACAGGACATCTTCCATAATCAAAATTCCATATTATTAATTTTCTCTCTTCAACTCATTAACAACAAGTAGAGTGTTTTTTACTGCTTGATGAATTTTAGGAAATAGCAGAGAGTTGAGAAGGAAACACATGTTGAGGTATAATATACAAGGTCATTAATGGGTTTCCATAAATTAGAATTTGAACATACGTTTTTAAAAGGATAACTTCCTATCCGGGGTGCATTTGAAAATGGTTTAATTTCCCAAATCATTCAAGTTTATCAAATGCAAATCTGCAATACATGGATATTTAATTTCAATCTAATCAAAACTAATCTGAAATATAGGATGTGGACCTGTAAAAATAAGGAGTAAGTGCTTATTAACGCTGAGTTTAATCAGATTCAGTCGCTTCAGTAAGACTGTCGACATTCTAACAATTTTGAGGGATGGGCAGGGCATGGAATGCAGTCACATATTACATTTCTGAGTGTCGCTTGACACTCAGAACTACTGCATACAACTTGAAGGAAACATAAATAAACAGGAGCGAGCAGTCCATGCTCCCCATGGCCTTTGCTGACCCTACAGACATCCGCTTTAATCAACTCCCTTGTGGGTAATAAACAAGTTATTTTTCTGAAATTTCAAATATACTGGAGGAAGAATCACAACCACATGCCATCAGAAATCTAATTTCAAGCCCAACTGTATTCTAGTGCCCCTCATATTTCTAGTGCCTGCTCATATTTGCCCAACTTTCTCCAGGATATTTCTTGTGGGATCTACAAAAATGCCCTGCTTCCAATGAGGGATGGTAGCACTCCATCACGGGAGTGGATTCTGTCTGCCTGTAAATTTCACACCTTTGTTTATCACGTCACCAGCCCGGCTGTTGTACAGTACCTTTCAGCAGGTGCGACATCCATTAGGATCTGGATGGTGTGCACACCATTCTCACATCCACTGACTTGGATCGTCCCCAGGGGGCTCAGCAATGAGATGGTCTTCTGAGTGCACTGGCTCTCCGTCTGCTTCTTCATCTCGCTGCCCTGCTAAGGCAGCACAAATTACTCTGCGTTCATTGACATATTCATGTGGTAACTTTCAGTTTCCCACACATATTTGCATTGAATGATCTATTGAAAACCTAGCGGGCCACCAACAGATGATGACTTACATATTTGAACACCTAGCCTCCAAACAATGTCATGATGTGACTTGATCCCTACATTACTATCCAATATTTCTTCTGTGCATGGAAAAGAATACGCCTATCTAACCAATAAATCGCCCATTTTTTCCCCTCTTTCTGTTCTATATATCACATAAATGAGAAAAACAATGCAGTCTGTTCCCTTGTCTGGTGGGGGATTCCCAAGATAGCTCGACATTATTTTCAATCCGTCATTTTTGGTTGATGGCCGGGATGTTTTTCTAGCATTAAATTTGTTCCTTAGGGTGCAACTCCGATGGGATTCTGGTTTCCAGCCCTTAACAACAGCAAAAACGTGCAGCTTTTCTGACGACTGAGATGGATACTGGCAATAACCAGACAGCAGTTCCTTTTTTATTTTTACTTTGAGGGAAGGAGAGATGATTGACTATGTTATATGTGAGTTTTTGAGAGATGGGGGTTATAATAAATAAAGGTCACATTGATTGTACTGTAAGAGTTTCAACCAAGGAAACCTTTCTTTGCTGGAACCTTGATTTGAAAATTCTCTAAAGGGTACAAATACAATTCCTTTATCTGTTTTACTTTTAATAGTACATGTGATCTACATTCATTCATTTTTGTTGGTATACTAATTGTGAAGGAGGCAGGGCCACAGCTAAGCATTATTTTTATTAATCAGTGTGCATATTTTCTCATTTAATTATTTAATATTTTGGTCTATAAAATGTCACAAAACAGGCAAAACTGTTCATTAAAGTTTCCCAGAGTCCAAAATGATGTTTTCAAATACACTGTTATGTGTAACCAACTGCCCAAAACTGAAACATATTACAGTTATACAAAAACAGAGGAAAGCAGCAAATCATGAAGTTTGATAAGCTGTAACCAGAGAGTGAGGCAGATGCTTACAAAACTGATTCTTAAACAAATAACAATGAAAATAAGTAATTTCCTGTGTACTGAATAATGAGTTCACTGACTAATTGTTCCAGTTCTACTATAGCAACATACTTTTCTAAAGGAGAATTTCCTCTGCAAAACCAATATTTTGAAATCTTAATGGGGAAGCATTTCTTTTAAAGCTATTCCTACATTTAATCAAGAAAACATACACTTCAGAAAGCAATCCAGTACACACTTGTAAACTAACACTCATTAGATCCTAAAGTCAGAGTTACTTAATCAAGCAACAATAAACAAACTAGAAGTGAAACAATTAGTTGCAACAAACAACTATTCAGATAATTGATTTTATTTTTATTGTAAAAATACTAAACATTTGTTCCAGCTTATCTGCCGTGAGGATTTGCTTCTTTTCTTTCTCTTATGTGTCGGTAAAGAATATGTTTTAACTGTTAAACAAATTAAACTGACCAAATAAAAGCTACCTGAAGTCACCTTGAGCTTCAGAAAATTGTGATGGACATAGATGCAACTTTATCAACCTGTCTATTTATCCTACACTGTATATTGTTTGCAGCCTAAAACATAAAAAATTCTGCTCTATGTATCCTGTAAAAAAAAGATTTATTTTAAGACAAAACAAATGCTACAGTGATCAAAAGTATCCATACATTTACAGTTCCACTTGTGCCCCCACACCCACCTTTCACACACACACAAACACACACCCCATCACCAACACCACATCTGTCATGGTATGCGATCACAAATGCTTCTGCTTCAACTTTCTTGTTTCTACTTTTGCAGCTCTCACTGTATTCATCGGGGGTTTGCCTGAACTGACAATAAAGGCGAGAAAATTCTGAGCCAAACAATGGTACAGTGCACTTTGGATAAGCGCTGAACACATTGCCTGCCATTTAGCAAGCTGGTAATGGACTCATACATAGAGCAATGGACTTTGGCAATAATGGCCTTGGCTAATAGTCTGCACTGATTAAAAATAATGCCATCATGTTTGTTTTGTGCCGTTTTCGGCGCAGCAGACAAGTCTAAGTGACTGCTTGAATGTTTACCCAGCTCTTCACGGTGAGGAACAACAAACAATAAGCAGCTTGTGTTGTTAAAAATCACTGGCAGCATCCTCATGCTCGTCAATCATCTGACTAGTTTCTCATTAGACTAGTTCCTGGTCAAACCTGCGTAATTAATTAGGTAGAAAGCGACATGTGACTGCGCGCGTGTGAAAATGCAACATGTGTCTTTATTGTGCTATTTTAGCTTAACGTTGGGTAAATTTATGCCGAAGACAAGACCAACAGTTACCTCAAATACACCGTGTAAGAGTGTTCAACATACCTAAAACACGCTTTTAATATCAAGTGTGCTGTTAAAATCTCGAAAACATAAGCAGGGGTTCAGAACTGAAGGCCAACATTAACACGCAAAAGACAGTCCTCGGTAATTTAAGACTAACAATATATGAATAAATTCTGATTTCAGGATTTCATAAAACAAGTTTAACACCAAAAATGAGCCCTGCAGCTTACAATAAATCCGTTTGTATCTGCAGGGTGTTTTTGCGACGCCAGTTTCTCTTCTTTCTTCAAAACAAACGTGACAAAAAGTCTCTTCCTGTTTCTCCAAACAGCGTGGCGGAGCCGGCCAATCAAAAGAGAGAAAAGTCAGTTCTTGCTCTGTAATTGGCCGGTATAGGGTCTCCGATCCTCCCCCAGCCGGGGACAGACACAGAAGGCTTGTCTAATAGGTCTCAAACTGGGATTTGGAGTCCTTCAGGGGATCTCCAGTACACCGAAGACTAGTAATAGTAGTGATTTAGATATTTTATTTGCTTGATATTTTTACAGCGGAAAAATATGATAATGCATATTTTCAGCATTAATTTCAAACACTGTTATCATTTCACTTATAGCTGAGACATTTATCCAATTCTGTATCTCCAGTGACAGCTTCTCAGTGAGGTCTTTAGGGTCCCAGGCATAATGTTTGAGGATAACAAAGCACCTATGCGATTCCAACAGCCAATAACATCTTATGTATTACCAACTAATAAAGTCAGAATGCTATTATGAACAACACATGAGGCACGCAGAATCCTTTTATTAGAGTTTGCTCTAGTTTAAAGGACAGAGAGAGAGAAAGAGAGAGGGAGAGAGAGAGAGCTGCCTTATGTTGCCTGGAGCAGTCATAGATTTAGCTGAAGCATATACTTCAGTCATTATGACCAAGTGTGAGGCATCAGTCATGTATTGTTTAAAAGTGTCTGTTGTCCTCCTTTATTTTTATTTCTGCAGTGCCTTCAGCTCTCTACATGCCTCCGTTTGGAATGTGTAGGCCGGCATGGGCCTGTGGCCCACACCCCATCTCAGCGGTGAGGGTGGGAGCGGGGGAGAAAACGCCACCCCTGCAGAGACCATTTTGAAATCTGTGAGGATTTCCATGCCATCTGGACCCGCTGCCAGTCTGCCCCAGATAGTAAGGGTTGGCAACGGTACCCGACGGTGCAATATGGCTCTCTCTTTAATGAACTACTAACTGTCCCCCGTTTTAATTGATGTGACATTTGAGCCATTTATCTCTGACATTTCAATGAAGGATGATTCTCAGCCTTGCCATTTACTTTTTTGTGCTATTTTCTAAGAGTCATTTGCATTTTCTGCTCTAAACCTGCTTTTTGTCTCTCATTAGCTAATTAGAGAGCAACATGCACGATTAATAAAAATGAACATAACCTAGTTTGATACAGTCTTGATGAGGGATAATCAGAAAATCACAGTTTTCTTATAATTCATCAAAAATGGTATGAGGGGCTACCTGTGGTAAAAGGTGACTTCGAAAAAGCCTTGTAACCTTTAGCCACATACCAACATGTAGCCTACAGTGTGGGACAACTTATGTTCGCAGCATGGGGAGAATCAAGCTCAATTAATCAGCATATGATTGCAGTAAGCAGCCCCCTCTGCTGGATCTTCTGAGCCATACTGCTTGAAATCATTTTAATGGTGCATTCACTGGCCAGACAATTACTACATGTGGCAGTGACAGTGGATATTTTTGTGATTGCTTTATTACCTTTAATTTAAAAATTGCCACTACAATGCAAGTTTAAATTTATTGAAAGATAGTTTTTGCTTTTTGTAATTCTATTTTTTAATGTATATTCAGTTGAATTACTGCTGGCACATCAAAGCTGATTTGCACTTTTTATATTTTGTTTGTCAGTTATATATATTTAATCCAATGAGTGCAAATAACTTATGAAAAAAAAAAACAAGAAATACTTTAGCCTTGCTGTGTTGAAATAAACAGCCTGGAGTATGTGCGAGTGACATAACAACCTAATACACTAAAGGTTCCAGACTCGATTGTTTTCCATAATAACACATATTTTCAATCATTTTAAGATATCCTTTAAAAACAAGGGCCCACTGATGACGACTGTTCCTTTGATTGTGAGCAGCATCATTGCCAAGGTGTGGTGCCCTGTCAGTGTTGGCAGCTGGGCTGATATCTTTTGTTTGAGACTCAAAGAGCTCTTTTTCCTGTTCAGTTTCCCCCACTATTTTTGTTTGTGTCAGGTGTTGATAGACTTATGCGTTGCACAGCTTCCTTTTAGTGTACAGCAGCAGATGTTTGTGAGAATAACAACTCTAACCTTTTTGTCACAATGACAGAAATTGTTTATTAGCACTTTTGTCCATCCGGTCATATATGATCGCTCTAGCTCAGTCATATTCTGCCTGTCTATCTCTCTGTTCCTGTGTTCACAACCTTACTCTCATGTTGGCACGGCAAGAGTTGAAGTCATTTATGAGATCAGATATTCTCTAGGAGAACAGGAAAGTCCTGACAGACTGAACAACCACCATCCTCTCACACAGTGGTGTGTGTGAGTGTGCATTTTAATCAGGAGAAATGGCTCTGTGGGCCTCACATTGCACATTGAGGAGGTCTGGGTGTTCTTATTGTGTATACCCAGTGTACAGTAGATGTTATGTCTGTTCCATTAAATCAAACCACGAAGCAGATATGAAAAAAGCAACCTGTTATTTTGTTCTTTTTACTTTGATACTTTGTTATCCCACTCCTCTCAAAAGAATTAGTCTGATCATCATATAAGCAATGCCATGACCACAAAGACGTGACAAAATTTGTCCGTACCCTCTTGTGTCCACTTACTTAGTGTGCTTGTGTGCCTCTGTCCCTCCATCTCTGATATGATGTGGCTTCTCTATTTTACTGTTGACATAGTGCTATGAATGTCTGAGCACTTTGCAAATGAAGAGGCTTGAACTCCTGACAAGCAGTGTCGCCGGCACCATGACACACTGGCCCGCACATGCTGTGCGGCATAATGATGACATTAGGATCCAGTGATAATATCAGGACGCACTTCAGATAAATGACTGATAAACCAGGGGTTGTGCCTCTCGTATTACACGCTTGACAGAGCAGCTAATCAGTGTCCAAGTGACTGCTATTACATAAATCATGAGCTCGACTTTGATGCATATTCCATCGGTGTTCCCTATTCATCACGTCATCTGGGGGAGACTCTCTGGATGACTGGCTGCCGGGCCAACACACATTTTAAGAGCACATTATGTTTTCATTAGAATTTGATATGATCCATTCCAGTGTTGATTTGATTTTACATGCTCGGGTCATTTGATAGGAAACTATAGGGAGTGTATTGTTTCACTGTGTAAGTAGTTCGGGGTGTCATTTCACCCATACTGGCCACATTTACAGTAAAAACGCTTGTTGATAAACAGCTTTGTTTCTTTATATAATAATTAGATTTGACTAAAACTGTCAAAATTATTTTTGCATTTTTATTTCATTATATTCATTCCACGTTCTTGGTCAATTTACAAAAGTGTCCTAAAATGAAGATTTCAGCAGTAAGAAGCTGTGTTGTGCATTATTGTTTTATTTAGCAAAAAAAATCAAACACACTCAGAGTCGAAGTTAGAAGAAAGATGTGGGGTGCTGAAGTAAGTCACCATGTATGTTTTATTCTCCAGTATTGGGGTCAGAGGATGTGAAGGTGGGGGTGTTAATTTAATCCCCATTCTTACCCAGAGCATGGCCACACTCTCTAAGGAGCTTTATCTCTGACAACTGTGTCAAATTAGAGCGACCACGAGCCCCTCATAAAGAATATGTCTGTCAGACTACATTGTTTCTTGCCTCCGAAATATACGGCCGAGAGAGACAAAAATAGAAGATAACACCGCAGTCCCACAGTTGGACTTGAACATGATGAAATAATTTTCAAGCCATGTGATCCTGTCAGCGAGACAAACTGCTAATAAAACTGATGTTCAAGTATTATTCTGTACCTTTTCTGCTTTGGTATCACAGATTTCAGTAACAATTACTCTCTTCAAAAAGTCAGGCTGCTCTGGAATTATTCCTAATATCTGCAGTCCTTTTGTTTTTGTCTTTTATACTAATAAAATGATCAAACAGTATTTTTTAAAAAAAAAAAAGAAGTACTGGACAGTAATGCATTGTAATTCAGCCTGGCAGTGTGTAATTGATGCGAGCGTTACATTCCATTAGCTTTGGTACATAACTTTAGGTTAGTCCAGTCTGATAACTGCCCATCATTTATCTCCCTGGTATCATCGTGGTCCCACAGTCAAACATGTAAAACAACTCTTAATGTTCTCCTGAGTCCCCTATGGGTGTTTCTCCCTGTTATCATCATTGCCTCTATTCTAGGGGGACTTTCTCTCGAGACAACATTTTCATAGACCTTTGACCTAAACCATATTTTCCATTTGAATGGTCTGACTAGTGAATATTTACAAGCATGCTTAATGTATAATAGATCTCATCTGTGAGTATCAGGAGCCATTTTCTGCTCAGTCAGGTTCTTGTGTTGGCCTTGGCCCCTTTGCTTGAGGTAATATTGACCTCTTAAAAACAAAATGACCTGTGCCTCATTTAGGCCAAGTAGTATGCATACATATTGTACAAGTCCTAAGGGCATACATGTTTATAACAAGGAACGCTGGCGGTCTCGAATGTAAACATCTTAGCACTGTAATATTATTGTATCAGTAAAGTCCCAGAAGGTGGTAGATTTAATAATGTGGGTGGATTATATAAGAGAGAGAAATAAAGCAGTAATTTGAAATTGTTTGGGGACCTTTTGTGTCAATGGTTATGGAGGCTAAGGGACAATTCCATTCCCTCAGGCCACTGTTAAAAAGGCAATGACTTCTCTTGTACATGCACAGCATTTTGGAAATCTACATGTATTACTAGCACCACAGGCTTTTATCATGTGATTAGTAATACATAATACATTTGATTCTATTATCATGCATGGAAAAAAATGAATGAAGGTGGTGAAAGGAAGAACACGTTGGTGATGAATAACGTCTGCAGTGACGTGCTTGAATATACATTTAATAGTGAAACAGAGCTCGGTTTGCTTCTCGAGTGCTTATACAACCATGGGGTTTTTAATCTCTTTCTTGCCGACGAAAGTCCCAGTAATTGCTATATTTCCCTTTTTGTTTCAAGGACCTTTGATGATCCCTTGGCTTGCATCAGAGGGCAAAGTCATTAGTGGAGAAATGAGCTCAAGTGAAGAGAAAGAGATTGCGGGGATCCCAGCAT